AGTGAATGAAGGTTGTTCGCCAAGCAATGATGTCATTTCGAAGAGATCAGCATTCCAACATTTGGTTCTTGAATACGGTGTGATATGATAGGCAGCAGTCTGGTAACCCATTATTAGAGAAATTATTTCATCAAGTGTGTAATAAAAAAGAAATGTGAAGTGTTCTAAAAACAGAATCCTATGAACTGTTCAGTAGACAGTTAAAGAAATTGTCTATGCATCTATGCCAAATCCTTATTTAATGGACACAATTTCAATTTGTAATGAACTCATAATTCCAAAAATTAGGGTGACTAGGGCTAGTTACCTAGCTGTTGTATTTTATAAGTATAATTCCACAAACAGTTCAACAATGCCTGCAAAGTTGCCCATAGACACAATATAACAACTGCAGCTTGTGCACCGATAATCATGCTCATATACCATAGCATTTAAGGACATGAAGGGTGAACTCATCAGGAATGCACCACTTTTCAATGCTCTGTAGGATTGAAGTGATCTTCACAATTGAACCCTTAGGTAGTGGTTGATGGATAATTGGGATAGTGGATGGCTGGGAAGTTCAAATCACTTGCAGGTGCTCCAGGACTGCTTCAAGGTAAGTAGGTTGAGGTTTGCATTTGAAAAATGTAGTTTGGTGGCCAAAGGTTCCAAGCAATAATATTAGCCTCTGAATTTAGAAAATACGTGAATTTTTGGCACAGTACCCCATTCGGGGTAAACCATGGTTTAGTGAGTACTATGAGAATGAGCTGTGATGATCTGCGGGCTTGGATTCTTCCCCAGCCCTTTCACATGCAAAAGAAAAAGATTACTGAAAGCTTCCACTTTCAAAAGCCACTTTTAAAAAGAGGGGTAGATATAGATATATATTATGCTACATCCAAATTCTGAAAACTGGTTTATTCTAACTGTGGCTTGTTTAAGCAAACCAGGATTAAATTATTGTTTTGGATTCTGGTTTGTTGACTAACCACAGTCAATAAAATCAATTTCCTGAGTCTAGAAATATAATGGGACATTGCAGTTTATTCAAAAGGAAAAATGGAAGCTTTTAATCTTGCAGATAGAGAAGAAGGGTGTAGCAGTCTGAGAGCCTGAGACTCACTGAAACTTATAACACCAAACCATGGTTTTGTGTTACTTCTAAAGTGGTCTAGGATCTAACTAGAGGATTTTTCAGATCATGCTTTCCCCTAACATGGGATTCCTTTAGAGCAGCCTTTCTCAACCTGTGGGTCCCCAAGATGTTGTTGAACTACAACTCCCATCACCCCTAGCTAGCAAGGCCAGAGCTCAGGGATGATGGGAGTTGTAGTCCAACAACATCTGGGGACCCACAAGTTGAGAACTGCTGCTTTAGAGCCATGTAAATGCCATAGTCTGGCAAGCTTGAGAAATCATTGCTCATTCTAGTCTCCAGATAAAAGATGAGACACAGAGGCTACTTATGCTTATAAACTAGAATATAGCTGTTGGGACAATGTCTGAAGAGAAGGGTTTGTTGACTAGCCTTCCAGTTGAGAGCAGAAGTCAAATACTTGGAGTTGTGTATTGTGAGAGGCTTCAGGGACTAGCTATAGAGGAGGGCAAAAAATGGATTGACTGATAGACCTTTGTGGGCTCTTTTCAGATTTACATTCCTATGACTGAGTCCAGAATGCAATGTACTATCAGTGAGACTTACTTCTGAGTAAGTATGCATAGAATCAGGCTACAAAGTGCTTAAATATAGCTTGATGGTGTTCACTGTGACTATCCTATGGTTGTCAATAGAAGCAAGTTTCCTGTAGCTTCAGTACCCTAATCTAACTAGCTTGCATTTAGGCTCTTTGTTTACTCAGAAGTCTCCCTTGGTTCAATGATGCATGCTCTTTACACATACTTTGGGATGACACAATTGTCTCCCAGCAATACCCCCAATAAAGTATAAAAGTTGAGGAACATAGGCAGCTGCCTTTGCAGAGTCGGGCCATTGGTTCATCTAGTTCAGTAGTGTTTACACAGAGTCTTTCCCAACCCTATAAGGAAATGCCAGGAATCTGGGACCTTCTGCATGTGAAGCACATGCTGAACCACTGATCTACGTATGGTCCAGGTGCTTGGGCTTTCTTGGAAGCCTGTCACTTGGGCATTATATAAACACATATGGGAGCTTAACAATGAGGATGGAAAGCTTATTGCAACCATTGAGCTGTGTCATCTCCAATAAGTGTACTTAGGATTATGGCCATGTAGTTTGATTCTATGCATGTTTACTCAAGTCCCCTGAAAAGTCCCCAATGATGGCAGGTGCTTAACTCTCTTCCACTGAAACAGGCTTAGTTGTGGACAGATTGCACACACAGTTTCTACTCTTTGTGTAAATTAATCACCTTACTAATATTAGAGCTTGCAAAATAAAGAATATACCTGTTTCTCTAATGAACTCCCTGAAATATTAAAGGAAATTCAACAGAAGTCAAATGAGGAAACCATAAAGCTTGCTGTGTACCAGGTTTTTTTATACAGACTTCCTGTTGAGAAGAAAGACAGAAACTTACAAATAAAATAAACTGTTAGTCACCAAACACATTGCTATACTTTGGGGGGGAGGAACACCACAAAACAAAACAACAAAACACCCCAAAATGTCATTGTCAGCTGAATTCACATTTAATGATGTACCAGATACTCCTATGCAGTGAAGGCATGTGAGCAAAATTCTGAACTAGCTTTGGTAATAGGTACCTGTAACTGAGTCTCTCTAAAGAAAACGACACCTTCCTTAAGCCCCTGGAACAGATGACAATTTTACAGTGTTTTTCTCTCGGGGAAGCCCTTTCCAATGTGGAGAACAAACACACACATTGGTTATTTCTGATTAAAGAAATATGATAAACTGGACCCTGCCATTGATAAATATACCACCTTAATTCTTAAAAAAATAGCCTGTATTTTTTTTTTTTTTTGCATTTTTTGGAAAATGATAAAAATCTTTTAACTATCTGGAAAGTTTATATTCTATGAGCTACTTAGAACCACGACAGCACAGAGTTTTCATAATTCAGTTTATGAACTGCATGATGGAGTTCACATGTTCATCTAGAGAATAGCGCAGCACAGTCATGAGGAAGAGGCTACAGTACGAAACAAAACTTCCATCATATAAGGAGCTGTAATTTCACCAATATTACTTCAAAGGGCTGGAAAAGAAGGAGCAATATGGGGCCCACAGATGTCTGTGTGCGTGTGTATAAGTGTGTGGGTGCTTGTGGGTGCCTACAAGTGTGGCGGCTGAAGGGAGTCACACCACAAAGTACATGGTTCATGTGCCAGTGGAAACTCATGCACTGAAACTTTGGGTTAAAATGCTAGCCTGTTCTCCTAACATTCATGCATAATGATCCGTTTCTGTACATAATAAAATATATTTATATATTTATATGCATTATGTCTTTTTTATGCCAAGAAAAGTTCTTCATATACCACTTTGGAGAAATCCTGTATACGTTGTCCTACCCAAAGTGTCTTCACACCACTTCCTGCCCTGCCCCACCCAAAAAAATTGAATCGTACCATTGGGTTTCCCTCTTTGCCCTTATCTTCCCCAAAAGGTATCAATAAAAAGTAATCAAACAGAGAGGACCTGCACAGCACCATACCTTTCAGTCATTATTACCATATAAATTTACAAAAGAAACCCATATAAGCAAAATATATAAAAACTACTTTGTTTTTCCGTGGAATTTATCCAATTACAGTCTACGCTCCTATGAAAAGCTATCTGTATGTATTCCCCCACCCTGTCTCTCCTTCCTGCCTTTCCCTCTGCTTCTCTTCCTAGACTCGATGACACTTCAGAAAAAGGAAAGAATAATCAAGGAGAGGATGTAAAAATAATTACCAATGTAATAAATCATCCAAGTCCTGGATGATGCATATACATAAAACTCTCGTTCTCATGCAATATAGTCTTTTTTATTTTAGGTCTTTGTTGTTGTTGTTATTACTATTATTAATAAATTTAATCTGAAATTAAGCTGCTGCCTTCTAGGCTGTTACGGACTAATTGTCTGGCAAGATGGCAACCAGGGCAGACCACTTACTCATTTTCAAGATCAGCCAGTTGCTAAATTGCCTGGGCAGGCCAAAATCACAATCACAATCACTGCAGCTGTTTTGGCAGAACTGCTAGGATTACGCACTAGGCCTGAGTCGATTTGACTAATAGCAAGCCAGTTATTGACTCATAAAGCACTATGAATTTACCCCTCACCCCCCACACCGCCTCATAGCTTTCGAACACTGGTAAGGATGCAGCCTTGGTGGTGGCTAATTTTGTGAGGTAAAATGCACCCTCTTGGTATTGAAAGGAAAGAAAGGAGTACCCTTAAATTTAAGCAAAGACTTTTGGGGGTGGGGGGGAAGGGTTCTGAATCAGAATCAACCAACTAAAAAATAAAATAAAAGCCCAAACCATATAACAAGCAAACATTAAAACCCCTCATAAACCACCTTTCAAATTCAAATAGTTGGTAGGTGCTATAAAGACTGAAATATTCAAGTGCTGTTGGTATTTCCAAGCCAAAATCCATTCGGCTTTTCAGTGTGCATATATTAGTCTGCATTTCATATTCATGAGGAATCGGCATGTGAAAAGGAACAATTTAAAGCATTTCACGGGTGGGGGGGGAGGGAGAATACTCACACCTTAAGAGGGGTAGGGGAAACCCTGAAAAATAAAAGCCAACCGAAAGCATCCTGCAACCCATAAACGTATTGGAACCCCATATACTGATTGACAAATAAACTATTGTAAAGGCTACACAGTGTGTTCTGAAACAGGGTGGTGGCTGAACCAACATATCCTCAAGTTGGTGGTGGGACATCCCATAAAAGGAAGATTTTGCATACTTCAGAATGAGTTCAATTCCAGACACGGCGGTTCATCACTCTGGTTCTGGGGCTCTTTAACAGTCTCTGTTTTGTTAGGAAAATAATGCAGGGTTCACAAAGGTTATAAGCTGTAAACGGTATCCCTGTCCTTGCTGACAGTTGATTTGGCAAAGTTTTCCCCCCCTCTAGCTCTCGTGTCAGATGAAGGGCCTGGAAGAGAAAAAAAAAGCAAGACAAAACAGCATCAATGAATGTCCACAACCTGTCAAAAGAGGCAGATAACTGGAAACATTGGCTTTTTAGACAGTTTAGCATTGTCCTGTGGAGACCAGCATTTGTTATGCTACAAATCCCTTTACCTGAAAGGTGTGTCGCTACAGAGAATGGCATTTTATCCAAGTCCACCCCAAGTCCACTCCATTACAATTCCACCTTAAAGGAAATCCAAATTGTTGGGTTGTAGGAACACAGAAAATGATGTTATGCCAACTCAGACCACAGGTCTATCTAGCCCAGTGTTGTCTGTGCTGACTGGCAGCAGATCTCCAGGGTTCCTTTCAGTCTTTCCCAGTTCTGGAGATGCCGGGGATAAAGAACCAGGCAAAGCGGTTATGCTATACTATCCCTGTTGGTGCAAAAACACATGCAGAGCACTAGACAGGTGAGATATCCTCAATGTCACTCCTTTTCTATGTTATCTTTCTGGAGTGCATACACAGAGTAGCTTTGGGCGTTACATAAAATAATGTAATCATGCTTTTTCACACAGTTCCAATGTCTATAGAGAAAGCACTGCTCCCACACCTATCATGGAAGTTCAGGAGAGCTTGGAGAATGACAAAAATATTGTGTGTTTTACGGCAATCAAAACTAGCTTATCCTTAATCTTGACACTGTCAAGCATTTTATGAACAAGCAATTGGATAGATCAACACATTTACTCCCCCCCCCCATTTGTTGTAAAGTCAACATTAGGATCACAGGCATCAGAGTGTTTGGCTGGCTAGCAGGCATCTCGCCTAGTAAATCTGTCTCGATGGTCAGTATACGGATATTTGCTGACACTCAGCCAGCCTTTGAATCTCGTAATGCAACCTGAGCAACGGAGTATGTGAACCCAACTGCTAATTCTTCTAGGGCTCATGCACACGTGTGGCTTAGTCCAGGGCAGCAGATCAGTCACGTAGTCTCCAGTTATTTGGGGAATCTTTGATGCTTAATCCCTTGCAACTCCTACCTCGTTAAGGAGGTATAAATAAATCCTTGGTACCCGATTTACAAAATTCCACTGATATCATTTGGTTGCCTGGCCTCTATTTGAAGTTCTCTTGGATCAGAACAAAAGAGAACAAAAGCTGACTGTTTTGATTACCATCCTGTGTGCTGCCTAACAAGAACAACGAGGAATGCTAAGAAGAAACAACAAGCTCACAAAGTGTGGATTTAAGATGCAAGTATGGTGAAAGGGAACACAGGGCACCTGCAACGTTATCAAGTTGTGTGGAAGAAGGAATTTCAGCATGTGCAACATTTCTCATTTCATCAGCGTACGGAATCCCTGTCTACTTTCTCATTCTGCCCCCCCCCCAGCTAGATATGCTTAGTACAGGGGTGGAGAACCTCAGACCTTGGGGGCCCTGGCAACTGCAGGAGTGTCTGCGGCTTGGAACTCCCCTCAGCACCCTCACTAGTCCTGCTCTGCACCCCCCAGAGTGCTTTTGCCTGAATGGAATGTGACAATGCCTCTTGCTTGTCCAACTAGAGAGAGCAGTGTGTGTGTGGAAGGGTATAGAAACCTCTGGCTTTTGCACGGCTGCAGTGTAGCCTACTGTAAAGAGGTATGAATCGCAACTATTGCTTCTTCACTCATTTTTGTCTCTCACCCCTCTCATCAACAGGCAGGCAGCTCCTGGAAAATTGCCCACAAGGGGGTGCAGCCTTCCAGCTGAAATAGGTTCCCCACCTCGTTTAGAAAAAGCATGGCCTGTCCCAGTGGATGGAACTACAGCAAGAACAAAGGGTCAAAACCTGTTAACATATGGAAGAACTCACCCTGTTACTTGGTTAACTGAACTGGATTGCTTCATTGACTCTGGCTCCCTAAAATGCCTTGGGTAATGGCTAGAAAACTAGGAAATTGTTTTTGGGGTGGCAAGAAGGCTGAACGTCTCTTTCTTTACCCCCTAGGGGCAGAGTGTAGCAAGTGCTGGCTTCCCTCCTTCATAGGGGGAGGAGTAATGTTCTACTTGCCTGGGTAAGTGTGGCTAACTCAACCACCACCATTTCCTTGTCCCCAAGAAGTTTCTTTAGTGAAGGATATGGCAGCTGTCAGCCAGCCAGCCAGCCAGCCAGCCAGCCAGCCAACAAACAAACAAACAAACACAACTACTACAGATGCACCTATTAGTGGGCCAGCTAAGTAGTACACGTCTCTCTTTCCCAAAGACAAAGTGGGGAATCAGGAAGGGAAGAAGCTGCCGCTTGTCATACCACACATCATAAGGCAAAGAAAGAGATGCAGGGCCTTCTCTTTTCCTGCCCCAAACCAATCCCCCAATTTTCAGCTCATTGCTGAAAACTGGCAAAATGCTCTCTCACAATTTGATCCCTGTGAATGAGGTGTATGGGGTATTTATTTATTTTTCAGCTGCCCCAGCATGAAGAGAAACTGGTTTTCTCTTCACTTGATTTTGCACTTGAGCAAAATCAAGGGGAACCGCAGATAAAATACCGCAGACAGCTGCTTTGTATAATTTCATACTGCTGTTCAGTGGGGTTACTTCACACGTTCCTCTGCCAATTGTCAGGGGGCTGACAATTTCACCCAGGATTATCTACTCTGGCTGGCAGAGAAGCTCCCTAGAGTCTCAGTCAGTTACTTGCTGGAGATGCCAAGGATTGAACTAGAATCTTCTGCATGAAAATTTGCATGCTCCACCACTGAGCAAACCTTCCCTCTTTTATGAGGGAGAGAATTCAAATTGCATTCATGACTGGCAGCTGGATGGGGAATGGATTCCATTGAAAAGCATTGGCTTGGATCTTAAGATAAGCAAACTCCCATGTCTATCAGTTTCTACTCCTGTCCCAGCAAGGTGTCTTATTCAGAACCAGACCATTGGTCCATCTGGCTCAGCAATGTTTAAACAGACTGACCATGGCTCTCCCAGATTCCCGACAGTGGTCTTTCCAAGTCCTACTTAGAGATATTGGGAATTGAAATAGGGACGTTCTGCTGCAGATGATCGCCATCTGAGCTATGTCCTTCTCCTGCTTCCAGGCTCTGCTCCCTGCCTCCCCCAAGGAGCCATAAGGCTCCACTCATATCTCAACAGGGTTCCTCCTCCACTGCCTAGGTGCCACCTGCTTATCTCCAAAGCTCTTTTTTCTGGTCTCTCAGTTTAAGAATCTCAAAAGACCTGGCAATGGTAATAAGAACTAGTGTTTAGATTTTCTCCACTGCAACACTTTGTAAAGTAAAACAGATAAGGGTTGTTGGCGAACAAGATAAATAGGGACTCATTTGAAAAGAAATATACTTTTGTCAATCAGTACAGGTTAAAGGCTGATTCACAAGGCCAGTCCACAGCACTTGGCCTGAGGTCTTATGAACTGGCTTGCAGAGTGTTTTCTGGTGCTTTATAACGAGCTTTATAATTAGCGGCACTTTATGTTGCTAGGTGACAACTTTGTTGATTTAAAAAAATAATAATAAACAAAGAACTATTATAATCAAGTTAACTTTCCATCAAAGGCAAAAAAAAGTAGGAAAGTGGATAGCAAACTGTGGCACCCCCCTCCCTTCCAGCCCAGTCTGCTTTGCCCTAAAACAGGGGTCTGCAACCCGCGGTTCCGGAGCCGCATGTGGCTCTTTTACACCTTTGCCGCGGCTCCGGAGCGGATACTAGCGAGGGGAGGAGGCGCATTGTACACCCCGACACTCCCCACTGTGGTGGGCGCTGTACTGGCTGTGATGTCGCATGGGGGCGGTGCGTGCATTAGTCACGCACCGTCCCGACGTCACCTTCCTGCCCGCTGTCAGATCGGACATTAAGGTAAGAAACAATATATGCAGTGTTATATTTGTTTTAAATGTCGCAGTGGTTTTGCGGCTCCCAGTTTTTTTTTCTTCGGAAATGGGTCCAAGTGGCTCTTTTTGTCTTAAAGGTTGCAGACCCATGCCCTAAAATAACTTTTCTGGTTATTCCACCTTTATATTGCTTGGACTGAAAAGTCTTTTTATTTGCTACTGTCTAACCTCATTCCACCACTGTTAGCTTAGAATTGAATTCCCCAAGCTCTGACCTCAGCTGAAGTGGGAAGAGAGAAGCCCATAAGTATTACCTAATGCAGATTACTGAACCCATTGGGTTCCCACAGGTGTTAATTATGCTGTGCTGGAAATTTCTCCAGAATGGGAAAGGTGACGCACTGACGTTTCCCCAAGTGCAAGGTACAGTAAATGTGTCACTGGTGAACCTGAATTTGAGCTAATCAACAGGGAAGCCATAACATTCCATCCAATATAAACATTTAGAAAAAGGAGAATATTGATGTGTGGAGTGAAGCAATGAATGAAGTACAATGTTCACTGTGTGATCCAAAAATGATTTAAGCTGGCTTATCTAGAGATGCCAAGGCCCTGAAAAACCCAGCAAATTGTGTGTGTTAATGCCCCCATCTTTTCCCAGGCCTTCACACATCTAAGTATATATAAATCATGGATTGTGCTGTATAGGTATAATATTGTTGCTAACTGCTACTCCAGAGCAGCCCTACTTAATACAATACCGTTACCCATGAATAGGATTTCAGCTTTATTCTTTGTAGGTCACAGATGTGTCTGAATCATGAATTGGATTTTAACATCTGAGTTGCCATAAGCTGATAGGATGCTTTTAAACAAGCACAGAAATAAAACAATGCTTTGGGTGACAACCTGTTACAAATTACTCCCAAGGCTTACAAGGAATTTTCAAGTTAAGGTAAAACAGCAATATTTATGTCTGGTGACCTGAAGGTAAGATAGTTGGATCTAGTTATCCCTGCATTAAAAGAAGAACTCATTCACTCATTCCCTTGGTGGGGGGAACTCTCCTCTAACCCCCCAGAGCAGATATTGGGGGGCATAGGAGGCTGGGGGGAGTATCAGCAAAAATTACCTTCTTTCTACTGCCTGTGGGATCATCCAGTTTGTTCCTTTCTGCACAACTCAGGTTCCAACAAATTATTTTCAAAGCCAATATGGCTCTCTTCTGGCTCAGATATATTTTTTTAAAAAAATTGGTGCCTATTCAGGACAATCTATTTTCCAATAATATTTTACATATTTAGGTATACAGTGGTACCTCGGTTTAAGAACAGCCCTGTTTACGGTTTACGAACTCCGCAGAACCGGAAGTAGTGTCCCGGTTTGCGAACTTTACATCAGTCTACGAATGGAATCCGAATGGTGTAAGGGCACCGGCGGCGGGAGGCCTCATTAGGGAAAGTGCACCTCGGTTTAAGAATGGTTTCGGTTTAAGAACAGACTTCCGGAATGGATTAAGTTTGTAAACTGAGGTACCACTATAATTCAATGTGGCCTGATTAAATGTAGTGTGAACCTCGTACGGGTTCATATTCCAACATTGTCGTAGATTTACTGGGTGCCCTCGGGCAAGTCAATCTCTCCCAGCTTTCGTTTCCTATCCACAATAATTTGGGAACATGATCGATGTCCCTTATACAGATGTTGTGAAGATGAATGATGATGGCAAACTAATGTGCACAACTAGCCAAATTTATAACACAGAAAAGATGGATATTAAAGATTGAAGGGAAAATCCTAGTAGCCCAGTTTAAATGGATTGCCTATTGGCCTGTGGAGAGGATATATATTTAAACACTAAGTGCTTGATAAGAGATACAAAGTTGGGGAAATCCCTTAGAGCAGGTGTGGCCAAACTTGGCCCTCCAGCTCTTTTGGGACTCCTATTCCCATCATCCCTGACCACTGGTCCTGCTAGCTAGGGATGATGGGAGTTGTAGTCCCAAAACAGCTGGAGGGCCAAGTTTGGCCATGCCTGCCTTAGAGCTTCTTTGCAGCCAAGAGCATTTCACTTGGCATCACTATACCTAATGCAAAAATAATCTCAGTAATAGCCTACAGAATTAGCTTTAATGCATTCTAATTTGTCACTCCACAGGAAACAGAAAATATCCTTTCCGTGACGTGTACTCACAGGACTATTGCTCTTCCTCAGTTATACTGTGAAAGTGAGCAACTTTATTATGATTAAAACAACCTTTCCTGCAGTGGAGCATTCTCATTTTCTAATGTTGTTATATAAATACAATGGGTCAGGAAGCCAAGACAAACCATTCAGAAGGAGTCAACACTGTGGTGATGTGTCACAGCAAAAGCAAAAAATATCTAAGATTGCTAACAACAATACACAGCTCAAAAGGGAGAGTGTAATAGAAGGTATTCCCATAAATCAAATGCCTTCACTTCTCCTCTAGTTAGATTACATGAAGATTGGGAAAATGGAACTTTAAAAACAAGCAAAGAGATGGAGGAGGAAGGCAACGACAGCAGAATTCAACTTAAGATCAAGTATATAGACCAACCTTCTCCTTTCCACCCCTCAACCCAAATCTCTTGGGAAAGACATTTCCCCTTTTTGGAAACTGAATTCATCTCATCTCTACAAGGCAAGAGTTAACCTGAAGTAATTTTCCAATTGATGTGCTGCCATTATGGAACATTAACCCCAATCTATAGCTGATATCAGTCTGAGTTCGTAGCATAGTCTATAATACTGAGTGGCAAATTTCATAGTGAGCCTCCCTAAGCCAAGGAAATAATAACTGAACATCTCCAGCTATTTCTAAATTAAAAGATTATTCAGCTTCCAGGCCTTACTTTTGAGGACAGGAAGATCAAATGGAAATCAGAATAAGATTGATGACAATGGCTCATAAAAAGGGGAAAGGCCTACATACTGTAATAAGTGGAAGATTATTCCAGTGATCTAGACCCTTTAATAATGGATCTTACCACAAACAAACCACAGATTTTGCTGGGACAATGCTTGTCTTAATTTGTGAAATTAAAAGTTCACTTATGCCAAGGCTAGAATATTTTGGTCCATAGGTAATAACTTTCTCATTACTTTATTGACCAATGAAAACCATAGACAAGCCAGCACTTTGTTTTCTATCCTTTTGATGCTTGACTATTAATATAACGATCCAAATACTTCAAACTCAATCCCTACCCATACATCATCTCCTATTAGAACTGAAGTTTCACAAAAACACTCATTTTAAGAAAGCAATCTGGTTTAGGGTCCTCACCCAGAGAGGCTACCAAAATGCTAAATACAACAAGTTGCTGTGTTTGCTAACATGTTCCTCCACCAAACCTGATCCATCCATTCTTGGATAGAGTCCAATTGTCTATGGAGGAATGGGCAGCAGGCACAGAGTTCACATTCAGTGCATGGAAACAATGAAAGATCTCCAGGTGAAAGCATGACCACCCCAGTCTGGGTTTATTTTATGTTAGACTATGGCTTTTTTTAAATAGACCTGCAGGATTCAAGAAAGCAACCCTGATTACTATAAAAAGGCAAATCATAAAAAACCTTGCAGATTCCAAGCATACTGGGTAAGAGGAATTCGGGATCTAAAGCTAAACAGAATGTAGTGCTCACGGAAACATTGATTCATAGAAAGAAGAAAAAGCAACTGGAAAAAAGTCACTCTCTGCACTTCCTAACACTATTGATACAAGAAGCAATGTGCCAGGAAGTCCACCTGATGCTGCTCTGTGTGTTCTAAAAATACCAAGCAATGCTGTCATCTTGTGAGAGTGTGGTATCCCATAATTTTGGCATCTGTAGGAACAGCTAGTTTCCAATTATCCTTGCTGAATCACATGAATAGCATAATGGCCTTTAAAAAGCAGACAGAAAAATCTCAACTGATGGCCCATTATTGCATTACATTATATTACGTTGCATTATGCCAGGCATCCACAGATCCACTCACCTGCTTGCCAGAGGCAAGTGTCCTCAGGCCTCTGCTGAGCTGGATGCCCAACAGTATATAGATCACCTCCCCCAAACTCTCGTTTGTGCTGCATGTGCAGAAGGTAATACACAGTGAGAGTCTCTTCAGAGCAGTGGAAGAGACGCCTTGCCGAGCATAACTTCCCCAAACCCAGTGCAAATAATATAAGACTCTACCTCTCCCCAAGCCTTCTGGGTGTACCAAAGGACCCAATGGAGGGAATGTGTATGGTTTTATTTGGGGAAATGGCACAGAGGGAAGGATTATTTTTCTCCTGTGACCAAGGCCCTGATCCAATTCAGGGTCCTGCTCTCAATTTTCTTTATCAAAACTGTGGGAGATCCTAATTATCAGCCTTCAACGTGATATCTACTTTGGCCCTCAAAGGTCCTGTTTTTGAAGGTATCTCTTTCTGAAAAACATTCTCTATTATTTCAGACTAAATAGAGTTACATTGGACACAATGGATGTCGCTTTCACAGGATACTCATATATTTTTTTATTTTGTGGGCAGTAAATGCCTTTGAGGGAGATTATTTTAACACACATAAATTCTCAAAAAGCTGCTTCACTCCCTTGTACCATCTTCTGTTGTGGCTTTCAAGTGTCAATTGTTCAGAATTTCTCTGTTGTGCTACAGGTGACATGAGAGAATGTGGAAGCAGATCTGCAACAACACAAACAAGCTACCATGAGATTGTTGCTGTTCATCATCCTGAAAAATTTAGGCCTTTAATTATTTGATCATTAGCTATCATCCACATTACGAAAGGAACATGTAGCTTTCTCTATTGCCTGTTTTGTTGATAATACCATTCATTTTTCTCACCATGTGCAATTCAGGGCAAACTGACTAGTGAGAAAAACAAAACATATAAGAAAGTAACTTGTGTGCCAATTCACACAACTCTATGTGGTACAGTTATTCTGGTGGGAGCGGAACGGGGCGGGGGTGGTGGTGGTGGAGAGAATATCATGGACAGCAGATAGAACATGTATCAAACCATCACTAAACAGAATAGTTTTACTATCTGAGGATGTATTGCTACATTGTCATTATGAGCTATATGAGAGGAACTATAGGTTCAGAGGTTCAAAATGCCTCTGTGTCAAAATCCTCTCTCAACAGACTATGGTCCCCACCACCAGCATCATACACTTGGGAGCTGATCATGTGTAGAGAAGAATATCACTGTACATCTGTTAATAAGATGTCCCTATAGTGATCACCTTGTAGGAGAGTAAACCTGAACCAGCTCTTAGTCACAGCTATGATAAGCACATAATTGGAATACATAGCATTGCTACCTACTCATCAGCACCCCACTTTGGTTTATGGAGTTTGTTGTAAAAGGCTGTATTTTACATAAACCATATGAGCATATGGTAAGGGCACCGCCTAGTGAGATCTAATAAATGACAACGGACTAAACATCGCTAACCTGCTTTGCCCATTTCCCCCTCTTTGCATAAATCCTTCAGCCTGGAACCCAACTCTGTGACGAAGCTTGCTTAGCACCAGTGAAGTTTCCCACATTCAGAGTGACAACATTCTGGGCTGAGATGAGGGAATCAAAGTTAAAATCCAACCCATCTGCATCCATGAGTTCGCTGCGGATAATGGACTCCATATCACATTCCAAGCTCCCGTTGAAAATATCCAGGTCCAAATCACTGGGGAATTTATCATGCCCCATGACTGGAAGGCTCACGCTGCTGGAGTACAAAGAAGAGCCTGAGAGTGAGTCAGAAAGCGATTGCATAGACTGGTTGGCAGGTGACTGTTGCTGGTGTTTTGTCGACCCAACGTTGCTTGTGTCACTTAAGCCCATAGTACCGACGGAATTCGACAAGGCACGACTGCCACCGAGAGAGGAATTCTGGGACTGGTGCTGGTGGTGGAGCAGATTCTGGTTGACCAAACTCCCCTGGCTTGGCTGGGCAGCAAACGACATCATGGGATCATTCCGCAGCATAATATTCCTGCGTACGTTATGGGCAGACACAGCTGTGCTAGCTTGTGACATGAGTGGATCGGACTGAGTCATCATGACATCGCTGTGGCTATGCGAATCCGAAGCCAGCAGATCCTGCAGTGTTTGGTTATTGTAATGCGAAATGGAAGAAAATGTAGCTTGCTTGTTCTCTTGGATGGTTTGCATGGGAGACTGACGGAGGGAATTCAGAGATGATGGTCCAAACACAGCGTTGTTGAAACTATTCGATGGAGAACCAAGACCTGAACCTTTGGAGCCGTATGGAAAACTTGAGCTTCTTTGCATGAGTCCCCCTGTGGGCGACTGCTGGGAAGAGGGGAGGGTTATATTGTCCAAAAGATCATCCATAAGATTGTCTGTCAGACCATCGTTCAAGTTCATGGTGCCCGCCATATCAGTCAACCTTGGCAGCTCAACATTGCCAGGTTTATTTACTGAGGGAGACATGCTGGGTGGACTGCTATACAGCATAGGGGAAAGTGGAGCATCATCATCCTGAACCTCATCTAGCTCAGTGCTGGCCAGTATTGGTGACAAGCGGCCACTTATTGTACTGGCATTTGAATTTGTACGAGACCGGAAATCTGTCCAGGCGTCTAGCTCATCGCTGCTGCGTGAGGTTGGGCTACCTGGCCACTTGGAGAGCTGGGAGGGGCTGTCTTCGCTTGTTTCCTGGGCAGCTTGCAGTGCTGCCTTCTTCTTAGCTGCTCGTCCTCGGCTCTTGGTGTACTTGTTGCTGTTATCCATCGAAACAGCACGTCTCCGTGGCGCTTTCCCACCTTTTCCACCGTCAGGGTTGATCATCCACCACGAACTTTTCCCAGTTCCTTCATTCTGTACCCGGATGAATCGACTATGAAGAGACAAGTTGTGCCTGATCGAGTTCTGCAAGAGCCACAAAAAACAAAACAAACAAAAAACAAGGAAATTTAGAATAGGGCCAAATTTCCTTTGTCCATCTCAACAATCTAAAAATAACATGGAAAATAATAAGAAAAATTACTAATTCTACTACTACATCTACTATCAGCATTTACTTACTGCTAACAGTGTGCTTAGGAACACTGAATTAATGTGGTCCATTCCTAAAGAGCAGGGCTGGCTGACCTGTGACCCTCCAGATGTTGTTGGACTACAACTCCTATCAGCCCCGCCCAGCATGGCCAGTGGTCAGGGATGCTGGCATCTGGAGTGACCATGCTGGCTGAGGCTGCTGGGAGTTGTAGTCCAACGACATCTGGAGGGTCACAGGTTAGCTAGACCTGCTGTAGGGTTATCATGATTCTTTGGATCAGAGATGTTCCCGGGAAAAGTGTATTTAGCACTGATGCCATTGTTGGTTTGCATGTTTCAATGTGAATTTTTGAACAACTTTAATATGACTTTTTGACCTGGCCCTCCCCTCAGATTCTGTGGGTTCATTAACGAAGGAGAACCTGCTTTCCTTCATTAAATAAAACCTCCCATTGAAAAATTTACTGAGATAATCGTATGTTTATTTTAGTAAGCTGATGCATCAGTACATTGCTAGAAGCCAAGATAGTTAGTAAAGATACGCTGTGATCCCAAGCACATGTATTCAAAAACCAGTTTTGTAACAAGCTTATATCCAAATCAAGGTCTTCATGATCAGGACGTAAAACATGTTTGACATGTTTTAACCTAATGGCCTTCTGCAAATAGCACTAGCTATAGTTACTCATTCTGCAGTTTATGGATTCATTATTTATTTCCTCCTCTTTTCCTTTAGTGACACTCCTTTAGTGACATCTGAAAGAAGAAACTGGCCTAATACTCTGGTGCCCAGAAAAGCCTCATAATTTTCCAAAGAATGCTTGCCATTATATACAACAGCACAGCCAACTGTTACGTTATAAAGAACTAGTCAACCTGTAAAAAGTTCCAACATGTTGACAAGCTTTCAGTGAAAATTTTAGGAAGTGAAAGCCCCATTGATATGACTATAACTGCCTCAACTAAAAGGGAAAACATACCCACTGCCCAGAAATTTCTACGCCATTTGGGACATTTGTTAGGGTGGATAGACTCAACGCAAGAGAAAATGAACCAAGAGTTGAAAAGCCATTCCACCACCTCCACTGAGACGTGCCTCAAGTTTACAATAGCTGAACTGAGCAAAATACCTGTAGAGTCTATACTTAAAAGTATAGCCTAGAGTAGCACTTTTAATTAAAGTTATAAAATTTGGTAAAATCCCTCTGTGATGTTGAATGCTTAAATGGGGAGATTAACAAGTTCTTTTTGAAATATGGGCAAATATTGGTTGTATCTAGGTTTGAAAGACAAATATACATCTTTTGCCAGCATATATTGAAAACAAAAGGCACCAAGAGCTCACAAAATACAGTTTTTTATATGCATAAATAACTGTTTTTTAATGTACCACAGGGATAAAGTGAATGATTCACATTGGCATCGCTACCACTGACATAAATGGGATGGATGACATTAAGTAAATGGAAGACATCTGGGTATACAAGAAATCTGGTCCACATGCTTTTTTAATTCAATAGTAAGCACTTAAAAAAAACCTGTTTTGTCTGAGGCCAGGTCAATTAAAGGAAAAAGCCAGACCCAAGTTCTTCCTGCATCTATACACAGTAGGCATATATTGGAGTATCACTTTAAGAAAACAAAAAGTTATGCTAGCCACTATTCTTTCTGTGTAAGCAAAGATGCATGGCTCAATAAATTTTAGGTTCCCGGGCATTTTCTTTTCACTTTGCCAGATAACGGCTTTGATCCGGCTCTGGCACCCTCTGGGTTAAGATTACTGCAATGCATTATACATAGGGCAGCCTCTTAAGACAGTTTGGAAACTTCAGTTGGTGCTCAATTCAGCAGCCAGGTTGCTCAGTGGGGCAAGACAGTTTGAGCATATAATGTAAATCCTGGCCCAACTGCATTGGCTGCCAATTAGTTTCCAGGTCCAGTTCAAAGTGCTAGTTTTGAGTCAAAAAGCCTTAAGGGCAGGGGTCCTCAAACTACGCTCTGCGGGCCAGATCTGGCCGCCAGGGTCCTGAACCCGGCCTGCCTGCGTGGCGGATCGCTCCAGACCCCACCCCCCTTGACAAGGCCCAAGGCTCGGAAGCGGCTGGGAGGGAAGAACCCTGAGGTAAAAGTGTGTGCGTGTAACAAAGCCCTGGTAATGCAGTTGTTACTGCTGGTGCTGGCTGCTGGATACCGGTGCACTGCCCCTTTAAGCCACCGGAGGGCAGGGTGGCGGTGAAGGAACCCCTTCCACGCCAGCCCTTCCCCTCCTCCCTTCCCCTCTGGCCAGCTCCATGCTCACCGGAGCAGCGCCTCGCCGGCCGGTTGCCTCCTTAACATGCGCACGGGTCCCATGCGGCAGCCTTGGCAGAATGGAAATGGCACCTTGCCTTTCTGACAGATGTAACACAGCTACTCAACAGTTTCAATGTTCAACTTCAAGGAAAGGGGAAGCTCATCTGTGATATGCATTCACATGTAAAAGCATTTCAAGTAAAATTAGACCTCCTCATTAAACAAGTGGAGGAGGAAACTTCTGCCACCTCCCCCCACCTGTTGGTGGAAAAACCAGCAGTTACATTCCCAAACAAAACATGCGTGGATTTACTAGAAATGTTGCAAAAGGAGTTTCAAATTAGATTGAAAGAGCTTCATCACCATGAACAGGACATACAACTTTTCCGGAATCCATTTTCTGTTGACACTGAAATTGTTGATCCGATTTACCAAATGGAATTGGTCGAACTACAGAACTGTGACTCTCTGAAAGACACATTCAAATCAAGCAGCCTCACTAATTTCTATGCATCTCTCCCCTCTGAGACATATCTTAATCTCAGGAACCATGCACTCAAAATTGCAACCATCTTTGGCACCACTTATGTCTGTGAACAGACTTTTCCCCGAATGAAACACCTGAAATCTCCAACCAGATCCAGACTAACTGATGAACACTTGCATCACTTGCTATGACTAGGAGTGACAAATATGGAACTGGATCTTGACCATCTCTCTTTAGCCAAAAGCAGGCCCAATACTTCCCGTTGAAATACTTATAAGTTTATGTTGATTAAAATCGTTCTTCATTTTAAATATTGTATTTTTTTCCTGTTCTTTGTGCACCACTAATAAAATATGTGCAGTGTGCATAGGAATTCATCCATATTTTTTTCAAACTATAGTCTGGCCCCCAACAGTGTCTTAGGGACAGTGAACTGGCCCCCTGTTTAAAATGTTTGAGGAACCCTGCTTAAAGGGCTCAGGACTGCAATACCTCGGTGAGCCTTAGAAGAAGGGTGGTATATAAATTTAATAATTTTAAATAAATAAATAAACAAAACCCAGAGCCTTGTGAATGTACTCTGATGGGCGCATAGTGTTTCTACGTATGTATGCACTGAAACTCCCACATGCATAGAAGAATCTCTGAATTTAGGAGAATATGTCTTTATTTCTTTTCTTAAAAACATAATTCTAACAATTGTGGATTTTTTTCTTCACAATTCTCATATTCACAAATAGGAGAGCCAATATGGTTGAGAGGTCAGTATTTTCGACAAGGCATTCTGAGTTCAAATCGACCCCTAACATCCCAGAGTGGACTTGGCCACCTCAATATTCCTCATAGTTCTCTATGGGCCCTGGAGCAGTTTATATTGTTTCATTAGCTTGACCAGGACCACTAACTGGCCTTCCTACTTCAGTATGCTATTTGAATGTGTTTCATGCTTTCCCCCTTCTTCTTTGGTCAAGGAAAATTGGCAGATCCCCTTCTGCAAGAATTTCCCCACTCCTCCTAGCTCGTGTCTGTTTCAGTCTCTTCCATACCGTGTTTACCTTATGGAGCTTGCCCATTAATTCAGACACCAGCTGCAAGCACCTACTGGAATACAGAGGCTTTTTTGTCTGGGATCAACATGTGGTATCAATTTATCATTCCCAACAACGCAACAAGGAATCCACTTGCTTTAAAAATAAAAAGGGTTGTGTGATTTAACTCTTAAAAGTCTTCCCCCTTTCTATATTTTAAAAAAATAAGCCTGCAGATTAGCAAAATGAGATACAGCTGGTAGATTTGGAATCCTTGCTACATGACTGACTGGCTCTGTGCATTTGCTTCACATTTTTTTACCAGCTCATTGGGCATCGCAGAGAAAGGAAACACTAATGTATAAAGCTACACCCAGCTACAAGTGTGACCTTTTGCAGATTAAAGCAAGAGTTTATTTTCGCAACAGGGTCATTTAGAAGCAATGAATTACAAGTCAGCAGCACCGTCTGACTAGCCTACAAATGCTGGTAAAATTCTCTAAGGAGGCTGTTCTACTATTCTAAAGCAATGTGGAACAGGGTATAAACTTTACTACTGAGTAAAATAATTCAGGGAAGGGGCAATATTTATTTATATCCTGCTTCCAGAAAATTGTTCCCCAAGCTTACTGACTGCTTACATTTGTTCACTCTATGGCATGAGGGTTTCCCACAGAATTCACTGGGCTCAAGGGAAAAAAAGTGCTTTATTTTCAAGCTCTGTGTCAGGGCTAGACAGTGCTTAGTATTTATTTATTTATTTCATTTGTATCCCAGCCTTTCTTTAGAGCATCTCTGAATGGCAGACACAAAGGTTTATCCCACTTTATTCTAACCAGAAATCTGTGAAGTAGGTTAAGCTGAGTGACAGCAATTGAACCAAGGTCACTGACTCATCTTCATAGCTAATGAGAGATTTCAGCCCGGGCCTTTCTGTTCCACATTCAGCGGAACAAAATGGGGGCACATGCGACAAATAGAGTCTCTATCTCTCCACTGAATATGCCTCATTGGATTTTGGTAACAACAACAACAGGCTTGCCCCAGCCACTCTGGGCAGCTTC